CCAATCACTTCGTTACTGTCAGTGCTAAACCAAAGCCAATGCAAATTAGACATTCACGTGAAAGCTGCTCTAAACAGATGTAATAACAATAGCAGTCCACGGTAACTGGAACAACTTACTTTGCAGCCAAAGAAACAACATAGTTGTCAGTCCCATAGAGTGTTGTTGATTTGTTGGTCTTAAGGTTTGCACTACGGACCTGTGAAGTTCAGAGTTGATGGCATTGTATGTTAACTTCATGTTAAGTAACAGTTTGATCACATAGTCAAACCGCTTTGCAATGGCCATCCTACCTAGCCAGTAGGGAAGAATTAGCTGGCTATTAAGAGTATAGCATACATTTTTGTATGGATCGGCACATGGGTGAAAATGAGAATTGTACAAATGGTGAAAGGTGGCTGTTATTGAGAGATGACCATCAGTAAAGGTTCGATGTTGGCACAATTTTGATTTAACTCCATAAATTAAAACAATGACCCCTGTACTGATCTTGGTTGAACTGCTGAAAATAAGGCGACAATAAGAAAAAAAGTATGTCGATGCCCTGACAGGTAACTATTACATGCACATGCTGTTACATGTATGTAAATTTACCTTTCCATCTGCTAATCCAAAGATAATGTTTTGTTGCTCAGGTGGCCATATCAAACATGTGACTGCACTCTGCAATACAGAAACACAAAAATATTGTTTATGAGCTACTAATGGCTTTAGAAGCATTTGTACAGACTTTGGCTTCCACAGTCTGAAGTTAACAAATAACTGCCTGTAGTAGTAATAGCTAATAATTCTAGCGAAAAAAAGATTGTAAATGCATTGTATAACAAACCTGTTGTACAAACTTGTTGCAGATGACTTTTTTATCACCCCTAAAATCACAAGGTGAAATCGTAGATTAATGCATAAGTTCTTATTTATATATACAACAATCATTAATAATGTTTAGGAATTTTTGTAAAGACAATAAACAAGTCATGTATACTAAAAAAAATTAACTCAAATTACCATTCTTCTCCAATTTTGTAAACAAATATAATGTTGTCTGTTTGTCCCACAGCAATCTTGGTAGAGTCTGGAGAGAAGGCAAGTCCTTTCACAATGTAGCTCTTCTTTCCAGCCTGACAAATGTGACATAGAACAAAACATAACTTATTACTACCATGAGACAAGATACTCAACTTATATTATAAAATAAATACACAGCAAATCCAAAATATGTATGTTATAGCCCCAAAATACACCAACATTGGTTTCCTACAGTGGAACACAAAGAGCTAACTGCCAACAGGTAAGGTATGATTAAGTCTGCATAGGGGTCAGAAGATTATATATATAGACAGGAGTGCTTATCCCAGTTTCCATAGCATGAAGTTTCTGTAGCATGTTTAGGAAGGAGTATTTCTACTCCTGCCTGGACAGGATGCTTGTTCATCTCAGGGTTACTTCACAGCATATTTGCTCAAAGGTACCTATTTACACACCTGTGGGTGCCAAGAGGACAGCAATGAAACATTTAACTACATCAGGCACTTGCCTGATATCCAGCTAAGACGAGCTCACACTTGAACAATAAAACGCATCCATACAATCAACTCCTACTACAATGAACACATTCACAAACACAATTTGGTCTGCATAACAAGGGACGTTTGCAATATCAGGAGTTATTTTCTGTTTTTCTTGACAATCTTCCCCCTGGGACTTAAATTCATCCTGCAACAACAGGGTGACGATAATAGTGATTAGGCCCAGAAGGTAGGAATTGACTGTAAGTAGACTTGCTGCCCTTGCCTTTCTGGTCAGGATACTGATTCAAATCAGGCATCAAGTCTAGAAAATACCTGTGCATTTGCTGGCTTTGTTGAAAACTTGTCTCTCCTCTCACCAAGTTCATCATACAGTATAACAACTCTATCCATTGTCACTACCGCCATTTTGGTGTTGTTTGGTGACCATGCCATTGCTGTCACCCTGCAGGCTCCATCCTCAAATATTGAAAATTTAACAAATATTAACTTTGATTTGATACTTATTTATTTATAATTCAGGGTTGAGGTGGCCAGCACAACACCACATTTTCTGGTGGCTTTCTTCCCCATCTGTATCTTTCAGCCCCTCCCCCTACTCAATTAGAGGATTAACTACTGGGCCACGCATTTTCCATGTTCCATTGCAATATGACAGCAGGAAGCTGCAAGGGATGTTAACTAAGACATAACAGTCATTGTTATGATTTCCACTATTTTGCAAATGTTTCAACTAAATGACAGTTATGGATTTCTCTTCATTTAAATAACAGATGTCACAAAAAAGAATGTTTACCATCAGAAAAAAAAAAACTAACTAACATATAAAAAAAAAACTGAAAAAAACGTGTAAAAATTTGAAGTTCTTGTCGCCTTTCGACTACTCAATATTGTCCACACAACTTCAATGGTTAGGAAACCACATGCAGTGAAAGGGGATAAAAAATACAGTGGTGTTTTAATTTAAAATTTTATCTTTAATTCCCCTAATTTTATTGAGCTTGTATTTTCAGATTGACCATCAACAGTACTAATAAGGGTCGATATCAGTAAAGCGCGATGACGTTTTGACTGATAAAAAGGCAGAGAAAACGATCAAAATGCCACGGACACTTTGGCTCTTCAACCGTTTCGTGTGTAGGTTATCCGAGTAGCTAATCACATCAAAATGATCACAATGGGAGCTGCATTTCGTTGTTGATGATGAAACTTAATTGTAGTTCTAGAACAAAATCAGGAAGTACAACATCATTAACACAATTACCTGCGGGTTTAGAAGAGTTTTCATGTACCGAAGTTGCATTTCGACGGGTTAGATCCCCCAAGTTTACAAGAAAATTACATATGAAATCAACATTTTCATGACTGTGCAGTCGCCATGTCTTAGCGCTCGAGGTATCCTAGATACTGACACAGTTTATCTGTTCAGCGGGCTTGCTCATGGCAATTGTCACATGACCTTCAGGAGATTCCCATGAGCTAAAGACGACAAAGAAGAAGCCATTTTCCTTTTTACCTGTAAATATGAATCTAATTTTTCCCCGATTGTACATAGAATTTTTACTTTTTTTTATTTTACTCATTGCAAATTCGAGCACAGGTAGCTTTCAAGGGGAATCAACAAGGGATCCAAGTGCATTCGAGTTTTGTAGAACGAAGTCTTGTGGAGCTAACAACACCACCACAGTCTGCCGAAATCGTGGCAGAAATGAAACTACCTCAGGGCGATGTTGTGTAAAGAATGGAAACGTGGTTGGGTAAGTTAACGTTTATGGAACGCTTTCAAGTTCTTCATCGTTTGATCTCAAGCAATGACTATGTAGTTTCCTAACATGTTCCATTTATTACTGGTTTCATTCAATTCCAACGTAAACTTAGCTTATTTAACAGACCACCTACCGACTTTTCAAATCTTCATATAATTCTCCTTTTGAGTTTAGCAGTAAAGACAGAAAAAAATGCTGCCGAAAACCAGAACGTTAAGGCACCTTAAAATGCAGAAATAGCAAAAACAGATTTGAAAGCAGTCATCTTTCAGTGGGGAGGGNGGGTATATTCTTGCAAAAAAAATGGTTTCATTTCCAACAGACTTTACTGGAATGGACATTGAGGACCATAGTCTGTAGTTCCTTTTCAGATTAATCCACTGACCTTTCGGTATGTTAAGTTGTTGGTCTCGGCATTGTTAGTGTAAATAACAATTTACCCTAAGCTGTTATGTTAATTTTTGTTATTTGTTCCATTCTGCCGACAAATTTGATGTCCATTTTTCAGGCTGGACCTTAGTAACTGTTCACTAACAACTTTGCCCAGCTTGGAGTCTTTAAAAGTGGCTCTTAGATGGTTGTAAGTATAAGGAATTGTGTAAAATATTCTGTTTTATAGTCATCAACAATTTTTTTATTTATTTTTGTTTTAAACATCAACAATGGTAATGTGGTTGAGTGGTAGAAACTTTTCCTATGCAGCTAGCCCTTCAATTTAATATAAGACATAAAATCATTTAGCATTGTGTTTCTAACAAAGAACAACTAAGGGGGAGGAACAAACCTTATCTTACACATCAAACCGCTGTGTTGGAATAGTATAATTTAGGGTTATAACTACAAAAATTAATATCAATTAGTTTTTCATTTTCTCTGTTATACCAGTGAGGTTAATAAACTCTACATTATATGCACCAAGTCCAAAAGGTAAAAACTGTAGAAATCACGGGCATACAAGCTACTGTAAGTTATATATAGTGAACTGTTGTTTTGTGATCTTTTACAGATACTTGCAGGACAATCCTGCCCTTGAATGTAACAACAAAACGTTTGTCAACAGTTTTAAGGGGTTGATCAACCTCTCAGAAGTGTAAGTATGGAACATATTGATCTAAAACCTAACTCAGTCCCTCCACTTGCTTCAAACTGATTGTCAAACTATTGTGTCCAACCATATTCAAAGACACCTTCTTTGAATAGTGCGACAGAAACTTCTCAGACTACAGAGTTGGAAGGCTTCTTCCTACTACAATACAATCTGGGTAGTCATGCAGATTCTGTAAAGGACAGTTTCTCACTTTCTCACATGTGCATAGTACAGTGTATAAGAACCTTATTTGATTTTTTACTGAAGCACATGTAGTTCAGTAACTCCATACTACCATTTAAGGAAGCAGGATGACTGATGCCCAATTTTTACAGAAGATGTTAACAGATTTTTCCAGATATATATTAAAAACTGAAAATAATGTTAAAAAATAACTTTAAAATGGGATGTTTCAAATAATGTAATGTAACCATCTTCAGCAACAATGCAAAATGGCATCCAGGTGTGAATGAGATGTTTTTACGAATGCGAGAACTTCACTAGGGATTAGATACTTAGAAACTTGTAAATTGAATGAGGTTCTCGCATTCTTAAAAACATCTCATTTACATCTGTACTGTATTACATATTTAGTAATACATGCAAATAATAAAAGAGTAATAACTAGTAAATAAATAGTGAATAGTAGTAAATGATAAAAGTTGGTTGACATAGCACATTTTCTATTAACCACTGTGCCTTACATAAATTGAAACCTTACAACGGTCAACGAAGGATTTCCTACAAGAGTCAAAAACAATTGATTTAAATGGGCTAACATTATAGCTTATATGCACCTTAGTAATAGATTAAAAAAAAAGTTCATTAATACAGCATATTTTCTGTAAAATGTATTCAAATGTGGCGTACATGAATTTAAACCTTACAGGAATTATAGCCCAATTTGAGAATTTTATAATTATCAACTGAAATTTGATTACCAGGTTAAAAATATATTTACTCAAGTAAGATTTCACAAAAATGCAATTGTTATTGCAGGGTTTTACCAAGTAGATGTAACTGTACAGGAGGAAATAGTCTTTGGACGAATCACTCTACAACTGGCTCTGAAAGGTGGTGTGAAGGTCAGAAGAATTCATGCAGTTTTATTAATGGTAGGTGGACTATTTCTTAAGTCAAGCGGCATTTTTATTTTTGGCTGAAAAGCCATTCCTTAAGAGATGACTGAGAAATGCAAAACAAATGGAAGTTAGCATCCTGCTTAATTTTCTGAAGAACTCCCATAACAGACCAGAAGAATACTTAATGTTGGACTTGGTTATTTTTCAGTTACCTGTCCTGCTAATTCTGCATGTTCTCCAAATGGACCAGGTATGTTTATAAAATTGTATTATTTTTAATAGTAATACAGTCGAACCACGGGCTGTGACTACCGGTACCTCTTGTAAGCAACCACCTCTCCTCAGTGACCAGTTTTCCAAAATACCAAAAGTTTCCCAATAAAATCACTATATTTTGAACCTCTTGTCAGCAACCCCCACTCATAAGCGACCATGACCACTTTCAGAACTAAAAGTTTGAAACTTTCTTTCGGTTTTAACCTCCCATAAGCGACCACTTGACAGATAATAGAGCAGAAATTGGATAATAATAAGGTGTTGCAATGTTATCGTATTCCTGGGTAACACAAGAGATGGAAATTTCTCAATGGCAAATGACAGATTTTTCCTCAAAATTGACTTTTCTCGTAAGCAATCACCTCCCATAAGTGCTTACAGGAGGCTCGACTGTATTATCAGCTGAAAATAAATTGTCAAATTAAAAAAAATCTCAAAATTTGTCCATTCTAATGAGCCTATCGAAAGGTTATGACATACTTCTTTCAGCTGACATGATTAACAGTTGCCTCGTATATTTGAATTTTCTCAGCTTAAATTGCCATAATTTTCAATTTTTCAATTTGCCTTGATCAGATATGTGAATTTTCTCAGCGTAAAGTTTAATTTTTTATTAGCAAAGCTGCTTCATTAATGAAGTAAGAAACAATAATATCCTATCCCCCTTAACTTGAATTTATGTTCTTGTGTACAGGGTTTACACAGTGTCTTTGTGAACCAGGCTGGTTTGGTTACAAGTGCTTAGTAAAGGTATTAAGGTCTTGTTTTATATCAGTAGTTTATTGTTTTGTATTGCAACCATCAGTTTGAAAGCTTAGCAGTCAAAATGGTTAGCAAGTTGGTGGGCAGAAAGAGAAAGGATGATGCAAGCATGCACGTTATGTTTTTCATATTACACTGTTAACCATTGTGACCCCTAAATTCCTCTAAAAATATGCTCAGAAGACCGATTCTGATCAGCTATTTGTCTTAGAACAATAGGAGTCATGACCAAAAAGTTGTCAGTAAGGGTGGTAAAGGCAATTACCGGATAGTTAAGGGCAGCACAGGGATTTGAGGGGTGCTTTTTGCATGGGTGCAGAAGCACATGCTTCAATGGGTTAAGGGTAAAGACACAACAGAGGACAAATCCCATGGATATTTTACATGAATAGATTTATCACAGACTTGTTACAGAGATGCTATCANAATAGAGCAGAAATTGGATAATAATAAGGTGTTGTAACATTATCGTATTTCTGGGTAACACAAGAGATGGAAATTTCTCAATGGGAAATGACAGATTTTTCCTCAAAATTGACTTTTCTTGTAAGCAATCACCTCCTGTAATCACTTATGGGAGGTTCGACTGTATTATTAGCTGAAAATAAATTGTCAAATCAAAAAAATCCTCAAAATTTATACATTCTAATGAGCCTATCGAGAGGTTATGACATATTTCTTTCAGCTGACATGATTAACATTTGCCTCATATATTTGAATTTTCTCAGCTTAAATTGCCATAATTTTCAATTTTTCAGTTTGCCTTGATCAGATATTTGAATTTTCTCAGTGTAAAGTTTAATTTTTTATTAGCAAAGCTGCTTCATTAATGAAGTAAGAAACAAGAATATTCTATCCCCCTGAGCTTGAATGTATGTTCTTGTGTACAGGGTTTACACAGTGTCTTTGTGAATCAGGCTGGTTTGGTTACAAGTGCTTAGTGAAGGTATGACAGTCTTGTTTTATATCAGTAGTTTATTGTTTTGTATTGCAACCATCAGTTTGGAGGCTTAGCAGTCAAAATGGTTAGCAAGTTGGTGGGCATAAAGAGAAAGGATGATGCAAGCGTGCACGTTATGTTTTTCATATTACACTGTTAACCATTGTGACCCCTAAATTCCTCTAAAAATATGCTCAGAAGACCGATTCTGATCAGCTATTTGTCTTAGAACAATAGGAGTCGTGACCAAAAAGTCGTCAGCAAGGGTGGTAAAGGCAATTATCAGATAGTTAAGGGCAGCACAGGGATTTGAGGGGTGCTTTTTGCATGGGTGCAGAAGCACATGCTTCAGTGGGTTAGGGGTAAAGACACAACAGAGGACAAATCCCATGGATATTTTACAGGAATAGATTTATCACAGACTTGTTACAGAGATGCTATCAATGATCCATTCACTCTGTGACTGGTTCATTTAAATCCTGTTGTTTAGTCCCTACACTTCTATTAACTTTTTTCTGTACTCATTCTTTTCAGGGCTGGTTTCCTTATGCAATATTTTTTGGTTCCCTTGCTGGATCAACTGTGGTTTTAATAGTCATCCTTGTAATACTTCAGAGGAAAAGGTGCTGTGCGTGTGATAATAGAATAATTTCCTTTATATGTGGCATAATTTTCTCAACAAGGGAGTTGTGGTGGCTTCATGATTAGTGCGCTTGTCTCCGGATTGAGTGGTCCAGATTTGAGGCCTGGCCGGGGACATTGTGTTGTATTCTTAGGAAGACACTTTGCTCTCACAGTGTCTCTCTCCAACCAGGTGTTAAAATGGGTAGCGGCAAATTTAATGCTGGGGGTAACCCTGCGATGGACTAGCATCCCATCCGAAAGTGAAGCCTTGGAGCAGATGGCTCATAGCTGCCGGAGCTTATCCCAGTTTCTGTAGCATGAAGCAGCTAGGAATATTTCTACTCCCCCTGGATGGGATGCTAGTTCATCGCAGGTCACTCCCCCGTAATTTGTTAGGTTTCCCCAACAATTTGCCAGTACCCATTTATACTCCTGGGTGGAGAGAGGCACTGTGAGAGTTAAGTGTTTAGCCCAAGAACACAACACTGTGTCCACGGCCAGTGCTTGAACCCGGACCGCTTCCTCTGAGGACGAGTGAACTAACCATGAGGCCACCGTGCCTCCCTCAGCATCCCATCCATGGGGAGTGGAAAACTCCCAGCCACTTCATGCTACCGAAACTGGGATAAGCTCCGCCTGATAGGCCACTTGGTTCGTATGCAGACTTACACCTTTACCTAATTTTTCAATATTATGACCTAATTTAACTTAATTTTTGCCTCCTGTGTTGAATTTTTTCTGATAGACTTTTTGCCTTATCTCTTGCAGGAAGAACCAAGTCTTAACACATTACACAGGTCTCTGATGACATGGATAACAGAACAAATAGCAATGACACAGTCAAATGTATTGTTATGTTATGGCTCACCTGACTAAGCAATTGTTTGACAACTTTCTGGTTTGTTCCACACTTTTTGGCCACAGGCAATTGGTCGGCAATAAGTAGTTTTATTTTTAGTCAAAATGTTCAGTGGTTCATACCATTTTTTATCACCACTTCTCAAAGTTTTTTATTAAGTTTGGATTTCTTGATGGCTTGATGAGTTGAATTGCATTTGACCAATCAAAATCTAGGAGTCTTGTAGGTGCAGTTGACATTGGCAGATGTCAACGTTCCACACTGGCACTCTCTGCTATGACAGTTTTACTCTCCCCTGCCTCCCCCNGCATGGATTTATTTGATTGGTAGAGTCAAACAGAATCCATTAAAACATTGTCTAAAAGATCAAAAATTTCTTCCAATGGCAGTGGCATTGCATGCATCAGTGTAGTAGAAATTCATAATTTTATTGACATTTTAAATTATTATTTCCAGTTTTACGTGTAAATTATAAAATTTTATCATTATTTATATTGTATAATTCACCAATTGAAAGCTGTCTCAGGCAAGAGTGTTCTAAGCATACAACTCTGTTGTTAAGCAGAGCAAAATCTTGTTTCTTTGATCAAAATCTTTGCCACATTACACCTTCAGGTGAACACATGAATATGAGTGTTAGGTTTTAAGTTTTTACTCCAAAAAAATGTTTTTAGATCTCACACGTCAATCAACATGATATGTCAAATAAGGCAGCTCAGCTTGGAAAATTGTTTTTTATATTATATATAGTGTTAGGTCCTATAAATGATTCCTAAGCAGCTTTATTTATCTCGGACAAAAAACCAACTTATTTGTCAGGTATGCTTTGTGATTAATTGTACCATGGAATATTTCTTTTAATCACCCTAATATAAAAATCTGAAAAGGAAAATACAGATTAACAGGAAAGTTGTGAGCTGTTTGTTACAAGGAATGCCAAAAGACACATTGTTGTCTCTCTTTAGATATTTCCCCTGCATTTTTTAAGTTACACCACTGTGTGATACTTGTAACTGTTTCAGTTATAGAAGATAATTA